AGGACCAATGTCTTTGCAGGACCTTCAAAAACGAATTCTATTTATCTTTAGTAGTAGAATTACTACAACAGTGTCTTCACAGTTGTCTAAAGCGTGGATCCAACAGATGCAACCGGGTCAAATCTATTCTGCAAAACCTAGGACCAAACATACGGAATCTGCTTTTAGATTTTTCGCTCCACTAATCTTAATTAAATTCACAGAAAACTGAACCCTAAACTGGTTTAAAGGGGACAGTATGAAAAAGAATTGCCTCTTTATAAGTTAAAAAAAAAAGCTTTGGTTTAACATTTACTGCAAAAGTCTAATGTCGCATCAAAACTAAAAGCATTCTCAAGGCTTCCAATTAATAAGTTGTAAATACACATGGAGAGGTGCATCAAATGGGAGAGGTCATGCTGTGCCGTCATTTTTGATTAGACCATGCAAAAGGGGACAAAAGTTGCCAGCTTTATGCATTTGAACTTTATCTGAAAACGTGTCATCGGTGGAAGAAGTCTTTAAAACAAGCAAAAACAATGTAAATAATTCTTCCTCCCATTTTCTGTTGCAATGGAGGACATTCTCTTTCGCCAAAGAGAAGCAAGAGAGCACCCCCACAAAAATAAACATAAAAAAAGGGGGGATAACCAGGAGAAATGAAAGTCTACATCGATGCAGCTTTTACCAGTTGCAGACATAATGACAGGCTTCAAAAAGGACAGACAGGCTGTAGCCTTTCTGCTTGTAAAGTTATTTAGTGAAGTTTAATTTCATGTTATATGTTATATTCTGATGGTGGTCAGAGGGCCCGGTTGCGCCAGTGTACGGCAGCTCCGCTTCTGTCAGTGAGCCCCAGGGCAGCTGTGGCTACAATGTAGCTTGCCACCATCAGTGTGTGAGTGTGTGCGTGAATGTGTGAATGAATGTAGTGTAAAGCTCTTTGGTCAAGTCTTCTGACTTGAATAAAGGCGCTATATAAGTACATGCCATTTACCATTTATATTTGGAACATGGCAGTGTAGTTCAGCCATTATTCTTTCCCCCTGGCAGTGATGGCTAATTTGTTTGTTTTCTGAGCTTGCACTGAAGAAGCTCTGACACAACGGTTATCAGCTGCTGTTATTCTTCACACAAGTCAAATAAACAGGCAACTGTCAGCTTCTTTCAGTCCCGTTTTAGAAAAATGTTCCATGTGCTTCAGGTTTGACTTTATCTGATTTGATGGTTCATGTTTCCCCTCCATTCAAAAAATGGAATGTCACTACCCAGCTTCCGTAGTAGATCTCACACTCTTTCAGGGATCCACCAGCTGCTGTGTTTTTAGTGTTTGTCATTCATTTAGTGCACCACTAGATGGAGGTTAATATTAAACACTTTCACTTTGAATGGAGATGAAGAAACCCATTTATTTAGAGTGGTATTTGACTGGGATATCTAAATATTCGTTTTTAGCAAAACTTTTCAGTTCTTAATCGTCTTTCCAGTTTATGTATAATTATTTAATTTTCATTTTCATTATTGTCTTTAATCATCTGTCTTACCTTTAAGAGACCAATTTAGTTTTTCTTTTTTTTTTATCATGTACAACACATTGAATTATCTTGCTACTGAAATGTGCTATATAAATAAACTAGCCTTGCCTAGATTGGCCTGGCCCAACATGGGAAAATGACTAAAATCGCATAACAGTACATCTACAACATTTATGTCTCATTGCATCTAAGGCACATTTTACCTGTTTGCGGTCATTCTTGTTGTGTACATTATCAGAGATGGCTGCAGAAGCTGAAGTGATTCCACCAGCTGTTGCGACCCCGACGCCCACAGCTGTAATTACCAAAGAGGCTCCGAACGTTAAGGGAGCCAGAGCCAAGCCGGTGATAGCCGTCACAGTGCCCACCGCTGTGGTGGTGCCACCACTGATACCAGCGATCTTAGCTTTGTGATGGAACTCGCTGATGTCGTCAGCAAGGGTGTGGAGTGAGATGATGGCCTGCCACAGGACTTCGGCTTGTTCGGTGAAAACCTTATTGAAGAGGCGAAGACCTCGTTCAACCTTTTCTGCCAAGATGCTGAATGACCTGTAAACAAAGCACATGGTTTAGATGATTCTTTGTTATATACATGTTTAATTACAAGGAGAGGTTTAAAGGGGAAATATCAAAGTGAACTTTTTATACCCCTTACATACATTTCGTTGTGAACTTCTGGACTCTAGGTGACTCAAGGTTCTGTGTAGATATCTACATAGTCTCTTTGGATCATATTTAATCTATTCAGTTTCATGTTTCCCATATTACTTATTTTGAACCGTAATGTATTTGTAGAGGAAGTGCCAAATAAAGTCAAGCGGTTTTTGCCTTAAAAAGTTTGTGACCACCACTTTTATTTCCGGAAGCTAATTTTTTAGTCCATTCTGAGGCCAAAGCTCCAGGTGGGTAAGTCAGAATGTTTGGTTCTTGGGTGTTTTAACCGCAGCAATTCATTACACCCACCTCCAGCATCTCTGCCATTAGAAAACCGTATCCCTCTTTCAAACTACAAATGCAGCCAAACAAAGTGGAGTGGAATCAGTAACGTGGAGCGGGAAGGGATGCGGAGCCTCACATTATGTATGTATATGAATATATGGGTATTTTCTGTGCTATGTTAATTATTAAATATTGAAACCTCTATGTTGCACAAATATCCTATATTAATGGGTCACTGGACTAAGAGAAAAGCATGCTGGTAAATTCAAATGGTCGCACTTTGACTCATCCTCTCTCAAGGCTTCGTCCTCTTCATCCGATGGCAGTTCGTCCCACTCTGAAATGTAAAGATGGCAGGTGGTTAACCATTCATTAATCCATTAAGATGTCATTAAACGTAATTGGATTCAGACTCACTTTCTACGGTGTACCACCACTCCATTAAACTGTCAGTGTCCTGGAGACAAAAACATATCAGAATGGCTGTGAAAATGTATACAAAACTATACATATTCCTACTGTTAGGGAGTTCTGTTTTAATTTTTCTTAAATCTGTCATATTAACTCAGGTTATAGTCTGACATGTGGATTTGTGTCAACCAAACAAACTGGATAAATCTGTGATGGAAAAATACTGTTACACAAAACTCTATTTTTAACAATAATATCCACCTAACATTGAAATGAATAAATAAAGGAATGCAATAACAATGTTTGTATTAGTAAAAAGGAACTGACCCCGTCATCTTCGTCATCCTCCTCCTCTTCTTCTTCCAGACCCCCGACAGCTTGTTCGTCCATCTGAGCAGCCGCCCAGGCTGCCTGCAGAATCGGTGGGGATAAATTTTAGGTCAGTTTGTTGCAACATGCTTTGCTTTGTTTTTACAGCTGTCATTGAACTCTTTTAAGGCCTTTACTGACATGAAAGCTTTGCAGTAGCGTTTCGTGCGTCAACAGACAGTATGCAGCTAAACCAGTCAGGCAAGACGTTAGAGAGATGAATCAAACAGCAATTGAGAAAAGAAGGCAAGCACGTTCAACATGCAGCTTGTGATTGTCTCAGGAAATAGCCTGCAACTATCCAATTGCTTTCAACTTTACATTTCTAAGTTAATATGTGACATTATTTTTGCTTCTGTGTATTTCTGGCTGAGAGATAAACGCCAAAAGGCAATCGGTTCAGCATCAGTGGAAAGTTTTAAAGCTGATAATCTGATATAGTCCGTCAGCAGGTGAAGCTGATCAACACCATGAGTCACAGCTATCACATGAGAGTGAATGTTAAAAAAAGAGGGAAGTAAAGATAAGATTGCAGTGTTATAGAAGTGTTCATAACTCTAAAACTTTCTACATTAAAATGCGTGTTTGTAAAATGACAATGTATTTGATGATGTAAATCAACCATTCTGAATGGAAATGTTATTTAGAAGGGAAATAACTCATGATTTCTTTCACATTATTTTACAAATTAAAGCCAAATACAGTATTTGTTTTCAATCCTGCATCCTTATCTGTACCCATGAATAAAATCTAACACTACAACCACCTTCCATAATCAGCCAATCTTTATACAATATATGGATTATATTAACCAGAAGCAGTCAAGGCATTCAAAGTAATTATGGAGCAGCTGTGGAAATCAAGAGCTCAGGTGGGTGAATCTGCTGACAGGACAATAAAAATCTGTGATTCACCACCAATTGACTCTTTATGGGAGAGCTGTATGAAGACAGCCATTGCTGGAATAGATACATGAACTCCAACTTTCCATGGATCACCAGCCAATGCAAACACATAAAAGAAAGTTGCTATTGAGGATTACAATAAATATGGAGGATTTTGTCTTGCCTTTAAAGTACATGAGGTCTAATTCACCAGGAAGTCACATTCTCCCTTATGAAACACGGTGGTGGCAGCATCCTATTGTAGGAATGCATACCAACAGGGAAGAGAAGATTGTGTCTTTGTTAAAACGACTCCAACATTGTGGACTGATCTCCCATGACATGTCAGGCAGGCCTCCTGGCTTGAAGACTTCAAGACTCCTCTTTAAACAGATCTACTGTATTTGCAGGAGCCTTTTGCACATCCTGATAGGCTGACTCATTTTTAATTTTTACTTTAAATTATTTTATCTCTTTTATTTTTAAGTTATTTTTTAATTTTATTTACAGTAGCTTGTCTAGGATCTTGATGACAAATATTTATACAGCAATCTTAAATAAAAACCTGTGAATTTTTTCCACATTCATTTGTAAAACATTGAAATTGATGCCATTTCCTTCGATTTCACATTTCTACCCTATTTTAAGCTCATACAGTCATTTTAAAATATATAAAAGTTAATTAGAAGATGACTAATTTTTGTATACAAAATAAATAAGATTTACCGGTACTTTTAAGCAGAAGCTTGGTGACTTGCTGCCCTCTGCATTGTTTTAAAGTCAGTTTTAGTTAGAATAAAATAAAAAACTATTTTAACTGATGTAACTGCACCCCTGCAGCCGTACCTTAGCAGCCTCTGAGAGATCATCAGATGCGGCTTCAGATTTGTTCTTGGCCTTTTTGCTCTGTTAAGAAAAAGAGTAAAGTCTGAGAATCTGACACAAATTAATCTGATAAAAATAATTTACGATTTCTGGACTAGTTGCAAATAGACAAAAAGACAAACCTTTCGCTTGTATTTCTTGGGAACTTTGAATTTGAATTGCTTTTTCTGTTGGAAAAAAAGGGAATACAAAAACTTTGTTTCTAGAATAAATTACTAACTGTAAAGAGCAATAAAAAAAAAAAAAAATTTAAATTAAAAATGACCAGTTTGGCGATTTCATCATCAGGATCTTCATCATATCCCTCCGCGGGACTCTTCATATCTTTTTCTGTTCCATCATCATCATTAGAGCCCCCCTAAAAGTATAAACCGTGGTATTAAAGTCCCAAATAGATCAAGCTTTTCTGTTAATTTACTTATAATACACTCAGGTTTACCGAATAGGAGCAGGATTCTCTTGGCTCACTGAGTCCGTGTGCAGCCTTAGATTTGCGCATATGAATCTTATACTTTGACTTTTTCTGCCAGAAACAAAACATTTATTCAAAGTTATCAACAACAGAGATGATAATAACAAGATTAGCCTGTGAAGTGATTTCAATAAGCGTGATAAGAACATGAAATAATCAGTTTTTCAATCCTCTCTCCCCATCTTAAGAAAAGGCAAAAGGTTACATGTTTTCGCTCTTTAGATCCTTCAGCAGCCTCGTCTCCATGAAGGCTTGGTGAGTAACGGAGAGATTTTTCCTGTTCCTCATCTTCCATTATGGCAGCCTAACAGGCAAATTAAGTTAGCTCATTTAGCTTCTACAGTGTAGCAATCAAAAAAAGTGAACAACCTCTTGTTGATCCAAATAAATCTATTACCTTAGCTGGGTTCAGATATTCTATCTCTTCAAAGTCTTCAAATTCATCATCCTAAAAAATAAATAACCAAAACAAAAACACACATTATATAGAAAGGTACATCATAAGGTAATATGCAAAAGAGCAGTTGCCTGTTCAAAAAAGTAAAAAAAAAAAAACTATTCCCAGCCTTTTTTAGAACTTTCCCATCCACAAAAGTATTGATAACTATGGCGGGGTGATATAAATCGGGATAATTGTAATTGTGATACATCATAAGTATTGCTAGAAGTATTTTGTCCCCTGCCTTTACAATCATATGGGGACATTACATGCTTAATCCATAGGTCTTAAAAAGATGTTGATCCAAGATTGGATTCATTCAGACAATTATCTCCAAAAAGGATTTGGTTCACTTTGCCAGCTGTTTGAACATAGCCTTAGTCAGAAAGACATTGTAAAACAAAAACTGAAGACAAAACATCAGAAGAAGGAGCAGGAGGAGTTTAGCTTCTTCTTTTAGAAAGACTGAACTTAGACTCAGACCTCTCATAGCAAATAAAACACAATTTCAAGACTCAGACAGCATATATAGTTAAAAAGTAAAGAGTTGCTGTCACTGTGCAGATTAGCTGCTAAAAGAGCCACTTCTTCCAACTCCAAAAATGATTGTGCTCTGCCTCACATCGGCACTCGCTTAATGGAGTAAGTATGCATGTTTTTAACTGGGCTGCACAGTAAGAAATTTTAAGTAATTTCCCTCTGCGATTATTAAAGTATGTCTTATTCTGATTCTGAAAGTAGATGCTTCTATATGTGGTTGGGTTATTTTCCAGAACACGGATTGGCTGCTTCCTCAATAGGATTAGTCAGACATGCATGAATCAAGGGACAATAAATACAATTGATCATAACTTTTTATTATAAACTAGTTTAAAAGGTCAGGAAAGTTTATTTTGCATCATATAGACCCTTTCAAACATTTTCTCAATGTTCTTCCTGACCCAATTCAATGTGTTGCTTGGTGTACAACACAGGATGCTTTTCACTAAGCTGGCCATTGCATTTAACTGTGGCGCAATCTATTAACCTAAACTTAATAGTGTAAACACTAACCCTGTTTTTGTTTTTCTCAAACAATGCTATCTCAACTTATCACATCTAGTTTCAAATCAGACACAGATTGTGCACTTTGTTGCTCCTAAAACTGAACAGGTTCTTTACCTGTAACTTGCCACGAGGCGTGTAGCCATGCGCTCCAGAATCTTCAAACAATTCGTCCTGTAGAAGGAAAACATCCCAAACATGAGACACGGTTCAGACATCCTCATACCACAAACATTAAAATGCAAACGGCTCACTGCCACGTTCATTTCAACAACAAGCTTCAGTCATACCTTTGAGTCCTTGCGAGGAGTATATCCATAAGCTCCTTTTGGTTCATCATGTGGCTGGAGAAAATAAAAAAAATGGAATGAGGTGGGGTTTTTTTCATTTAGAAAGCAAAACAATCAAAGTTTGGTAAATGTTTTTTACCTTTTGTAGGGTGATGGCAAATCCTCTTTGTGGCACAAACTTAATTTTAACCTTGCTATTCTTCCTCTGAGAAAAAAAACAAAAGAGATCTTAAATAAAAGCAGAATGACCCATTTAAAACTGCTTTCATTTGATCAGAAATGTTTCAATTGTATTTATTTTATCTCAAAGAAACATCTGACAACCTGTCCTCCACCGACTTTTTGTGCCTCTTCATAGTCTCTTTTATCCAACACTGAGCTCTGAAAAACATTTAATTCAAGTTCAAACAGTTGAGGCTGATTTTCAAATATCTCTAATGTGTTAAAAACTTGAGGTCTTCCTGCGTTTCTAAATGAACTTTACTTTGTGGAATAAAAGTTATTCACCTCAGACTGTCGACGAACAATGGTGTTCTTCCTCTTACCACTTTTATTAAAAGAGTCATCTTCCTGTTAAAGGAGATTTATTCAGAAAAAGTGACAGTGCTTTTCAACATTATAGAAGCAAAGCTGAAATTATTTAAGGGAAAGATTGTGATAAATCCCTTTGCCAATCTGTGGCTAGAGTCCTAATTGTACCTTTGACTTTTCTGGTAAATTCCCATTCATGTTCTTGCCCTCATATGTAGAGGTAGCAACTGAAGCTCTTCGAAACAGATTATTGACTTTGGGCCTTGGTTTTTTCTTTTGGAGGGAATAAAATCATTAATAAACATGTGGGTCAGCTTTAATTATAGTCATACTTGGTGCTGTTGCAAAGGAAACATACTTTATAGTCCAAACTATAGTGATCTTCGTCATCTCCTGTAGAAATATTTCCATTCGAACCAAATTCCTAAAAAGAGTGGTAAGGTATTATTCTGCAGTGTTTAATGCAGTAATTAATAAATATGTTTTGTGCTGACATTTGCCAGTTTAAAAGCAAATACAGTTCTTTTTAAACCTGAGAAGTTTTACCTTAGATGATTTTTTTCGGATAGGCAATGTGTTGCTCTTTCCCTCCATCATGTCATCAGAATGCGTTTCCTACATTATAGAAAAAGATTCATTAACGCAAGGTTAAGGAAATGCAAAACAATGAAATGGTCTTTTATCAGATTTACCTTTGAGCTTCGTCTAGATAACAGCGACATTCGAAGGTTCTTGTTCTTTTTCTGGGAAATGATGCTCTGAGTTTAAATTAAGCTAAAGCAAATTTAAGTGAACAAGGAGAGAGGAGTTAACATGTTACCTTATTCTTAACGGCACCATCAGGGTCTTCACTGCTTCCTCCATCCGACTCAGTCTTTTCCTAAAACAGATTTTTTCATCTTTAACTTCTTTTCTCTACTAAACAATGAGCGATGTTCATAGCAAACCTGATTCTGACCTTCATTGACTCTCTCCGTAGTTTGAATTTTCCCGACTTGTAAAATTAGACAAAAAAAAAAAAAATCAAAAATGATTAAATTGATTTAAACAGTCTTATGAAGTAAGCAGGGGGGTGTATATAGATTCATTTCTTACTGGCTTAAAGTCTGGATTCAGCTCAGGACTATCTTCAGGCCAATCTTCCACACAGTGTTCCTTCATTTTTAGAGAAAAAAAAATGTCCATAAATAAACACAAACAAGCACTCAAATATGGTGAAAGCATTTATCAAAAACACTTGCTTTTTCATCCTAATATAGAATAGCATCTTGTCTCACAAAACTCCTGTTTTCTTCATTTTGATTGAGGTTAAAAATAAATAAAAAAATCAGCCACAAGAGGATCACTACATTAGATACTCAACATCACACATCATCCACTCAGTAGAAATGAGGACGATAAAAAAATGAAAGTCCCTGTTGTATAAATCAGCCTTCTGATTAAATTATAATGCCCTGTGGGCTTTTATTTTCTTTTTTTCAATGTTTTTCACCTTTTTTAATAAACAAAAGATACTTTGATTTTTTTTTTCTACTAGGATTAATATCCTGTACAAATTTTTTTGGTCTTCGTTTTCATAATCATAATACCTGCCTCCGTTATTCTAACTTGGCGTTTACCGACCAGGCAGGTGACTGCTTAACATTTCATGTAAGCAGGGTTTTCACATTCATAGATACATATTTTTATGATTTTTTGTATTGAAGCTACTAAATATTTGGCAAAACCTGTGAACGTCGCATAAGGCTATGTTCACACTGCAGGCCTTAATGCTCAATTCCGATTTTTTTGTGAAATCAGATTTTTTTGCGTGGTCATTCACATTTTCAAAAAATACGCAAGTGTGATTTACTATATAAACTGCATTCATACAGCTTAAGCATCCTGAACGTGCAGTAGAGGACTTAATGATGGCACAAGCAAGCGTGCTTGTATTAACGGAAATAAAAGTGGATGGTAGTACTGGATTGCATCTAGCAATCTTTCCCAACCCCAAAAAGACAATATTTTAAAGATGGTTAAAAATAATGTTGTTTTTCTTGCCACTTCTGTGTAGGAAGACGGAGAATAGTATCAACAGCGTACAGGTTGAATCACATAAAAATTTTTTTTTATAAAAATTGGATCCGTGTTGTTCAGAATGTCATGAAAAGATTAGATACAGGATGCATATGGGAAAAAAAAGAAAAAAAAAAAGAAAAAAGATTGGATTTGGGGGACTTCATGCTTCTGTGTGATCGTAACATAAGATGTCTATCTATACCTGTTGTATGATCAGAATATTAAACTGTGACCAAAAAAAAAAAAAAAAACAGGAATCAAGTGTGACTCTGTATATGTTTCATTCTATAAAAGATGTGACTGTAAAAACACCACCAAACCTAAATTTTGGAAATGTACAACTGAGTAGTCATTTTTTTTCCATCCTTGGGATTTCAATGGATAAAACAACACACCTGTCCAATAAGGAGGATGTCCTCGAAGACCACACTATTCTCAGGTTCCAAAGGTTTGCTCACCTGGGAAAAAATATAATAAACATCTGAATAATGTTTACTTTTAATTAATTAGAAAAAGTTCTCTTTTGTCTTAATAAAAGAAAAAGTCACGTCTTCCATTCCTGAACAAAATATCAATACAGAACAATTGTATTAAGTATTAAAGATGACCCCTCTACATACCAGATTCTTAGGTTTATAGGGAGGAACTGGTTTCGGGGGAGGTTTGAACACTGGTTTCGGGGGAAGTTTCGGCAGCTCTGGTTCGGTAACATGGAATTCAGGCATTTCTGTTTCAACTTCAGTCTACAAGTAAAGAAGAAAGTTCGACTGTTAATGAGCCAGTATCATGGAAACCAACAGCATCTATCATCAAATCCAAGATAAACAGAACAAATCTATATGATCTGATTCGCTGTCGCTTACAGAGACTACAGAGGGTGAAGGGCTCTCCGTGGTCTGGGGCTTCTCTGCTCTGGGGCGTCGAGTTCGAGGAAGGGGTCTTGGTGGACGCTTGAAGGTCTGCGCCTGTGTGACAGTTGAAATTACTATAGTAGCAAAAAGGCCTTTACACTTTTATTTAAAATAAGCCCAACATACATGATCCATGTCAGCTGGAGAAAAGCTGGGTGAGGAAGACAGGCTGCTGGCCAAAATGAAGGGGGTCGGCTGAAGGATATTTTCTTTGCTTTCCTGAGGCGTTGTCACAAGATTTCTTGGCTTGTTTGGAGGTTTTGGTGGAACAACTGGAGGACGCTTTGCTGGCATTTTCTTGTGTATGTCAGACATTGGTGAGTCCACTCTAAAGTCAAGTGGACTGTTGTTTAAAGGTGTAGAGAAAACAGTATTGGAGGAGGTAATCTTAAATATATCATCGCCCCCTTCCACGCTACTGAAACCATCCTGGAGGTGGTCAAATTGCTTTGAGGGAGTTGGACCGAAAGGATCATCCAGACTGGAGAGGTTGAATGAATTCCTCAGAAGCGGACTTGGAAATGGATCAATTCCATTTGTGGATGACGATGAAAATATGTCGAATTTTTCCTTAAAGGATTTCCCAGAAAGATCACCTTCTGCTTTGCTGGCATCTTCTTCTATCCCATTAACATTGAAGAGTTCCTCATCTTTATGTGGAAACAAATCCGCTTCTAAGCTCGTAGTTTTGGAAAATGGATCTGGTACCAACATTTGTGGAGAGTGGACTGAATCCTTAGATGATCTAAAAATAGCATCCACATCCTCCACCAAGTTGTCTGAGCTCTTTCTTGGTGGGAGTTTAGAGAGCCTTTGTGGTTGAGCAGCGTTAGCATTTTTCAGAGATGCGCCACCAAAGTCCCCACTGGCATTAGCATTGACCGTAAGAGAGGAGGGTCGGAAAAGCTCATCCTTGGGGTCGTACCTCTGAGGCACCTCAAGATGTTTGGAAAGTTTTGCTCCATTTTCTGTTGTCTTAATTCCATAACCAAGTTCCTGTGGAGAGTTGAGGAATTTCACTGGGGGCAAAGGGACAGGATCAACATCTGCTTGTTCTGAAGTTTCACTTCCAGGGCTCTCCACTATGGTCCTTTTGTTGGTCAATTCCTAGTTGCAGGACAGAAGTTTTTGGGGTTCAATAAAACCAGATAACTGTGTCATCAGGGGTTTGTCTGTAGATGACATACCTTGTAATATGAATAAAAAGGATTCGTTTTAGTCATATCTGCAGAGCCTCCATTCTATTTAAAGACACAAGAGAACAATATGTGATGCAATCATATTTAACCTGCACAACTGCAGGAAACAAGACTAAGAAACAAACCTGAGGGCTCGAAGAACATTCTTCTGGCACTTCGTTCTGAAGAAATTAGAGAATCAATTGTGAAATTCCCATACAAGCCAAGCCATTCATAGAACATCTAGCATTAACACCATACAAAACAAGTAAATAAACTGGTGTTTCAAAGGGACGCCCACAACAGATGGTGCTGATTCTAGTCTTGTGATTTTTGCCCTTGATCATGATAAGAATGAAGTTACTTAATAGAAATTTCTTGTCAGGTAGCGATATGGCACAGACACGCCTACAACAAAAGATCTAAAAATGGTTACACCAGAGGTAGTTCATAAAACAAACAGCAGCACAGATCAGGGATCTGTTTTGTTGCTCTAATGAGTGTAATATGTAGAGATTAAACAGCAGCATCATCAATAAAAAAAAAAAAAAAAAAAAAAACTAAGACAAATTCTGGAATCAACATTTTGTCCTGTTTTTCCTCTCACCTGGCCAAAGTGCTGGCTGTCCATTTCTCCAGCAGCTGACCGCTCCCCTCCCTAAGGAGCAAAAGTCCCACATCTCAATATGCACATACTTGGAGGAGCCACAGCAAATCATGCTCCTTGCATTTCTTGCACGCATAACTAATGGCATGCAACATGTGATTTTTTTTTCTTTTCTTCCTCTTGAAACTATTCAGCTATCTACTGTATCCTGCAGAAGCTTCTGATTCTTCAGCATGTAAATCTGAATGAAAATATGAAGCTTAACTTGTAATACGTAACAAGCTTCTGTATAATAATGGATGTTTAAGTTGAGCCAAAAGCTACTGTTTTGAGATTGCACTTTTCAAAAGATGTTTGTTAGGAATGATCTTAAGCTATAAGATAGAAGCTATCAATTTAATGAAAGAATCTTCTAAAATAACTGAATAGTTTTTAAGAGCATAAAGACTGTAGAATGGGTCATTAACTGCAAAAACTCAACAAAGAACATTAATGAGAAACAAAATGAGCTTTACTGATTTTAACAAATGAAACAAGACAAAGAGTGAAAAGTTTAAAGGGGTCTGAATACTTTTCGTACCCACTGTAGACAGAAAACCTTCTTGGTCTATAAGAAAAAAAACCTCCATTAAGTGGTAGTTTTAGCTTAAAGAAATACCCTTACATCAGTTTCCTCTATCTCGGAAACCCCAACGAAATCAGCTCTTAAAGAAAAGTTAGATATATCTACATCCAAGACATAGAACAGCTGATTGCATCAACACATTATATACGTGTCACATAAACTAATATAATTCTAGAGCGTCATTTTGCATCCAACACCACAGACAACCCCTCCTCAGCCCACCAGATTCAGAGATCACATTTCTACAAATCCTAACATGACCTCAGACAAAGGAGGAGTTTTATAAAGCCAAGTAAGGACTAATGGTAACCCCAAGCAGAAAATTAAGAGGTTTTGGTTAAATGCTACTGAGCATCTGATAATCACAGCATTTAAAAGTTGTTTACTTTTTTGTAGTGTTGTACCAGTATCGGACGGGGCCCAGATACCGCCCTAAAATGGTGGTATTGGTATTGGCGAGTACCAACAAATAGGGCACCGATACCATTTTGAGAGCCATAAGTTTATTCAACTATTGTCACCCACTCCTGGTAGGTTAAAAAAGTTCTACTGGATTCACTTTGTATTATATTCTTTTTCTGCTTCACAAAGGTAGGCAGCAGCTTGACAAAGCCATGATGGCAATTATTTTACATTATTATGTTATCGGCCGATACTGCACAGCCAGGTATCGGGCATCGGTGCAACACTACTTTTTTGACACGGCTCATAAAATAGACAATCATCTTGATTTTTAATTAATTTACACTGAGAAATCCTTGTTAAACAGTGTGACCATATAGACCCTTACATGTAAAAGAAAAACAAACATACTGTATCATATTAACAGCACAGAAACTGTAGCAAAGTGAGGTAATGTGTAAATATAACGTTCCCACTATAGAAGTGATAGTGTGCTGTTAAATTTTAAAGGTCTCTTTTTTTTTTTCCTTCTCCAATCCCAACTAAGCATTTAAGTTATCCTAGGTAATTTATTCCAATTTATTTCAACACCTTTTACAAAAAAAGATTTTTTGTTTTAATAGGTCAAACCTGTTCCTGAGTTGAAAGAAAAAAAAAATCATCCTGGTGTTGATCATACTGGTCACTTTTTGGGGGGGACTCGATAAACAGAATGTGTCAAACTGGCTGCTAATTCCTTTGTTGTGCAATTAAGGGTATTTCAAAAACTAAAACAGAGAAAAAAGCCTTTTTTAATTTCCCTGTACAAAAGTTTTTGTTTTTTATTTAAAAATTATGAGTAAAACAATCAAAATAGAAAGGAAAGACTTTAGAGGAAAAACCATTTACTAATAAAGTTTGCATGCCCACTTTTCAGTTTGGACCTGCGTCCAATTCCATGTATGTGTTCTACTTACATTATAGTGATGACGAAAGGGGTCATGGGACGCCTTTTGCAGCATATTCCGTAGGGTCACAACACTCTGCAGAGACAAATCATAAACTTACCCAGAATGTAAACACCTAATTGGTGACAAATCAGAGAAATGTGTAATTATTTCATCTTTTAGAGGTTGAGCTCAGTTATTAATTGTAAATTTAAACCTCTTTAGTGCTAAAGAGTCACAACATTTGTAAAACAAATGACTAAAATATTAAGATTTGAACTTGGTTCATGTGGTTTGATTTTGAGCAATCCTGACTTGGAACTGAAGCTGTAATCTGAAAGTACTAAAAGCTTTAATTAATGGATAGAACAGAAAAATGTAACCCTAACCCATTACTTTTGTTTCTTTGAAGTATTACCAGTAACTTCTGGACATTCCTTTAGAATTTCATAATTTACAGGACTCAAATTATTAACAAAAATTTCATAATGAATCGAGATAAATGGTCCTGTTAAGCTGAAGATCTAATTAATTCCAAACAGAGGTGTCAAGTAACGAAGTACAAATACTTTGTTACTGTACTTAATTACACTTTTTAGGTATCTATACTTTACTCAAATACTTATTTTTCTTCCTACTTCTGACTTCTACTCATTACATTTTCACACAAGTATCTGAACGTTCTATTCCTTACATAAAAAAAAAAAAAAGTTACTCGTTACTCTTGGCTTAGGTTTTATAAATATTTATTTCCCGTCATGTGCTCCATCCAATGCAGATCATTGGCTCCATCCACATCTAGTGAAAACTAGTGTAATTGGATGAGTCATATAACGCAAATACTCATTGGTTAGCTAAAGGAAATCATCAGAAGCAAGCAGGTGTTCTTCAAACTGTAAACGAGAATTGTCTATGCCATGCTACAATGTTGGATTAAAAAAAAGATGTTGAAATGTCTGAAAGGTTGGACACAGGCGAGAGCGTATCGGGAGATGGCGACCAACAAAACCTCCCTCATCCCAGGCCCTATCTCAAAGTATTTTTCAAAATATTCAAAAAATTGAGCTTTCAATTCATATAGTGGCATCTGGCTGGTTTACTTTATACTTTTATACTTTAAGTAGTTTTTGGAGCACATACTTTTTCACTTTTACTTGAGTAAAGAGGTCAAGTTGATACTTCAACTTTTACCAGAGTGTTTTTAAACTGCAGTATCTATATTTCTACTGAAGTAACAAATGTATGTACTATTGACACCACTGCTTCCAAATAACAATATCATCTCACTAGAAGAAAAGGAAGGGTAGGATGGATAGATGAATGGATAATCAAAGGAAAGAGAGCTAAAATGAATGACGGATAGATGGACAGAGACAATTGAAAGGTTGGATAATTATAAATATGGATGAAACAGACTGACCAGCAGATAAATGGAAAAAACAGAAGAACGGGTAGATTGAGACATTTTCTCAATTGGACATTAAAAACCCAAAGATAATTCTGACAATTAAAAATGCAGAAGAGGACATCAGTCTGAGGACATTATACAGAGAGCCAAATACTCTAAAACACCTAGGCTAATTCTGTTCTATTAATTAGAAAAAATAAAAATTGTAGTAGATTGATATAGTTTCCCCCCTCCTCCTCTTTGTCATTTTCTTCTTTCAACAACCCAACTAAAGAATATATATATATATATATATATATATATATATATATATATATATATATATATATATATATATGAAATGAATTTTACTCCCTGGTTACATCAGAGAGAAAAAAAAAAAACACGGGAGGAAATTACAAAACAGCTGCCACTACAACGTGGGTTTGGCTGCGTCACTTGTATATCACAACAAACGGCTTGAAGAATTGATACAAATAAAATGGGACTTATATATAATTCTTATGTAATAGACACACAAGTGAGCACTTTATCCTGAAAAAAAAAAAAAAAGACTCACGGGTCGCCTCTCTTGCGGAGTGGTTGGTGTAGTTGCTGCTCCTCCATAATCACCAACTTCCACGTCATTCTCCTTTATTGATTCATTTTTTTTTTAAAGAGTATACATTAAGTAAAAATAAATCCACTTTTTTTAACGACACCGTTTGAGATTATATATATATATATATATATATATATATATATATATATATATATATATATATATATATATATATATATATATATATATAATAACAAACACTGCTCTATTTGTTTGGTTTTTGCAGAATATTCTCAGAAACTTACCACAGGTGTTTCTTCTCTCATCTCCCTCCTAAGATTCTTTTATAAACTAATTTTCAGTCCAGAAGAGGATATTTTCCCTCAGCTATGCGTTCAAAACCAGACCTGCCCGGTCATAAAACACATCAATGCCTTCCCGATGCTCACACACCTTTGGTTTGTAATTATCTCTTTGCTCGACTCACCTGCGGCAAGCAGGCAGGGTAATCAAACTTCCTGTTGTAAGATTTTCAAAATAATGTCTCTCTCTCTCTCTCTCTCTCTCTCTCTCTCTCTCTCTCTCTCCCTCTCTCTTTTTTTTCCTTTTTACTCTGCAGCTTGAAGTGCTCTTAAGATCTATGGAGTAACTGAGTAAAGATGTAAAGAAGGATGAAAACAGGTCCCATAGAGTTAGTCACATTAAAAGCTCAGCCCATAACTATGTTTAGGAGAAAAAATGGATAAACACTAAGAGACACAACATATTCTCACTCCCAACTCGTCCAATATTGATTCTTGGTGAGGTCCCCAGCGCATCAGTATCTGACACGCTGGGGACTTGACCAAGGGTTAATGTGTGCGGAGCTGGGAGTGAGAATGTGTTCATGAAACAGGCTCATCTAAAATCTATAACTAAAGTGTCTGATGCAACCAGCCAAGCTCATTCCTCCCTCCAGGATAGTAAACAATAAGACCAGATGAAGAAGAGAAAAAGCAGAGGAAACATGTGGTTTGAAGCTAAAATAACAAATAATGCAGAATTGCTCAATAGAAGTAGAATTAAGCAAAAATGATGACAAGTTGTCCCTACGTCCTTCAGCAGCTTAAGCCTGTAGCAGCATCAGTACAGAGATAGCTCAGGATAACACTGAGCCACTCTGGCTGTATCAGAGAAGAAGGTTTCAAGCCTATTCTTACAAATATTCAGAGTGTCTCCCTCACAGCCTAAAGATCATCCTCCCATTCTAATTTAAAAATAGGAGTATACCTGCAGGTTCACTGTGGTTGGATATTGAACTTTGCTATTTAGGGCTTAAGTTTGAGAAGAAGGATTTACAATTCTATCCAGGCTAATGAAAGGAAGCTAAAAGAGAAAAAAACAACTGATTTTTATTTGTTATTTTCAACAGAACTCTGGCTATAGAATTTTTGGATATGCTAAAATGGAACTGCTGGTAATAAAGAATTAGTCCAGCCTTAAATCAACAAATGCCTTGACTATCTTTTTTCAGTATCAGTCTTTGATGGGGTATTTGCTATGTTTGCATTGTTCTCGTAATGAAAGAAGGAAATTTTTTATATGCTATTTCAATGACAAATCATGATCAATAATAAGAACGAAGCTTTTTATGTCATTATTTGAAACCAAAATAATGCCATTCAGATGTAGTAACCAACTAATGAGCTGGGTTTTTTTTTTTTTTTTTTTTTTAAGAATCTGGTCAAAAAAAAAAAAAGGAAATCTGTTAATAATTAATAATTTAAAAGCAGAAAATGTAACATCATACAAGTTTTTTTTTATAGCTTTGTGTCATGTCTATCTGGTTGGTTTTATTAGCATTTCTGAATAAATTTAGCTAAATATGAGCACAACCTTGCAAATTGATCCTAGTGATATACTTAAACCTCTGTATATAAGAATGTGCATCTGTAAATGTTTCAGCAGAAGTTTAGGGTTTTACTTTGAAAATCAAAACTAGGCTGCTTCCGGTTTCATCTTCGTTGCAGGATATTGACGGTTTAGAACACCTGACTTTTAAGGGGGAGCGTCGTCCTAATTATGCAGACAGACAGGTTTTTCTCTCCCCGCCAAACCGGATGGAGTGGTCCAGGTGATCACGACGCTCACTTCTGACAGGTGATGAAACTGTTTCTTTTGTTATGGTTTCAAGCTCCTTTCAAACTGAGAAGCTTAAGGATCTGTCAAATAACAATGATGCAGAAGGTAATTTCGTTTCTTATCTAGTTTGGTGTGGATTTAAATGGGTAATATAAATAGATAATAGGCTACGCAACACATATGCTACACATTTTTTATAATATTAAGGATCACTATTATTCATTGCGGAACATAAAGCTAAAAATTTGGAAAAGAAAATACCAATAAGGTCCAGAGGAGTCTGGGTTCAAATTTGCCTGGAGGGCAGAAGATATTTGCCTTTTAACAAAATATAATTTTTGGTAGAAACGTAAAGCTTTTCTAACATAGATTTTCTGGTTTACCTCTGTTAAAAATGAGAAAATCAAACTCCAAGTTTCTGAGCTTTTGGGCAGTCCATCCAAAACGTTTCACTCTAATAAATCCTCCTTTGATCTTGCCAGAATCATTAGGCAGACCGATGCACAAAACAGGTTCTGTGGTTTTCACAACTAATTAAATAGGCAAAGAAGCAGGGGCGGAGCTAGATGGGGGCCCAGGGGTGACCATGGCCACCCTTAGCCAATCATTTAGAATTGGAATATTCATTTAATTTTTTTATATATTAATTACTTTTTTTTCATCTATTCATATTGTTTTGACAGCAAAAACCCTGTGGTTAATTATACACATTAATATACTAACATTAAAGATGATAAGTACAGAATTCATGCTTTTTACAAAATTACATTTTGTTTATATGTGGGAAAGAGAAAATGATGTGTCTCTGCAAGTCATCTGACCAGCGATGACATGTTTAGCCTCTTCATTCAACCGGTGGTTGTCTAGGTGGTGTCCTGAAAACAGCGTGGGCTACATTAATAATTGGCAATCCTTTTGGGGAAAGCCTGGCCTGATTCGAAGAGACGGCATCCATCCTACTTTGGATGGTGCGGCTTTTCTTTCTAGGAATCTGGCCACATTTATTAGTCCTCCAAAACCCTGACCACCCAGGGTGCAGACCAGGAAGCAGAGTTGTAGTTTAACACACATCTCTTCAGCTTCTCTACTGTTGCCCACTCTTTACTTCATCCAGACAGTGTCTTGCCCACGACCAAAATCTAATAAATTCGCAGATATTACATAAGGAGTATATCATGATAAT